TATGAGGTGTGCATATAGTATGGGATGTCCTGAATAAGAACCAACCATTGTTGTTTTCTACTTATTAGAAATGGGATCTTCATAGCCTTCTAAAGTGTCATAATGTCCGATATCTCCAAAACGCTGAAGTAAAATGGTTTGATATGAGGTGTGCATATAGTATGGGACGTCCTGAATAAGAACCAACCATTGTTTTTTTCTACTTATTAGAAATGGGATCTTTATACCCCTCTAAAGTGTAATAATGTCCCTTATCTCCAAAACGCTGCAGTAAAATGGTTTGATATGAGGTGTGCATATAGTATGGGACGTCCTGAATAAGAACCAACCATTGTTTTTTTCTACTTATTAGAAATGGGATCTGTATAGCCTTCTAAAGTGTAATAATGTCCTATAACTCCAAAACGCTGCAGTAAAATGGTTTGATATGAGGTGTGCATATAGTATGGGACGTCCTGAATAAGAACCAACCATTGTTTTTTTCTACTTATTAGAAATGGTATCTGTATAGCCTTCTAAAGTGTAATAATGTCCTATACCTCCAAAACGCTGCAGTAAAATGGTTTGATATGAGGTGTGCATATAGTATGGGACGTCCTGAATAAGAACCAACCATTCTTTTCTTCTGCTTATTAGAAATGAGGTCTTTATAGGCTTCTAAAAGATGAAAAGCGCTCTGAAAGCGCGTTCCCTCTGTGTTGTTCCTGTAATTATAGTAATACACGCGCACCATAATTTCACTCGCGGCTGTCTTGACCGTGTTTTTCTGAAGTGCGGCTGGCTTGACCGCAGTCATGAGGGGACTGAAAGAATGCAGGGCAAATGGATAGAATCATCGTGTTATTTGCACTTTTACCTCTAACATCTGCTTCAAACGGTAAGTTTCAAAAAGATTCGATCGCCAAAATGTATTGCTGTTCAATGAATTCAGTTCGAGATTATTATAAAGGTTGTCGCATGTTATCTCCTTACCGACCTTCATAATAGTGCATTGCATACAACTGAAAGTCATTGTCAAGTTATTCAAGACCCATGTATTCTCGGTATTCTCTCTAAAACTAGATGGAGAAATAGTTAGAAAACAACTACTCATTAAAAAACAATCGTTTTGTTTTTCAGCTCATCACTCTTTGTCGTTGTTTTCAACTTACATTGAGGTAGAAACACAATTTCCTAAATTTAGTTACATAACAACTCTGGATGACATCACAGTTGGATACTATAATTCAGAGACTTATTTTCCAGAAGGGAATACGACGAAAGAGGATGATGTGATTGATTCAGATTACATAAAGGGTATAAATGACTATATGTATAACTCCTTCGTGAGACGATCTGCACTATTAAGGCAACACAACCAAAATGACAGTAAGTATGCAGGCCAATGACATGATGGTATTTTTTTGTCCTCGTGTATTGATCTAATTATACATAGCTATACAGTCGCTATGATGAGAATATTTTCAATTACTTAAAATTGATTTTGATATTTTTTAGAGGAATAAAGTAAACAAAAATATGTGTCAGGGTGATACAGAGAGTTAATTTTGCCTGTATGATGAGGGAGATCAGTCCAACACAATCCTCTCCCTAGTTTTCCTCACAGGTCTTAATGTTTATCAGACACTGGTTGTCTGTGAACTGCTGGAACTTGACAAGCCTGGAAAGATGCTTACTAAAGATCCCGCCGGAGGCTGCACCACAGATGAGCTGTGTTACTTTAACAACCACTTTACTTATACTGCGACTGTAAATATTACACAAGAAGTGCTCAAACCCCACCTGGAAGAATTCAAGCAGAAATATGAAAAATTCTATCACAAAGTTTGTATAGATACTCTCAGGAATTACCTCAAAAAGAGACAAAATGAAGTAAATAGAAAGGGTAATTACTTAAGACCACTTCTTACAACTTCATTGTGTTGAAGTACCAGTCGTTTTTAATGTTTGTTTCTGTTTTGAATATGACCAAGGATGTGTGTTATTAAAATATATCTGACATTATACCTGGCATTATACTTAAGTCTAAATTGTTATTTCCTGAGTGCCATAATTTTAACACTAATGTTAAATTGTATCAGTTATGATATAAAAGAGTTTATTTTCATATTCATGATTCTTTTTCTTTTTATTCATGATGTTTTATTATTTTTATTTTTTTGCAGAGAAACCCAGAGTCAGATTCATTCAGAAAGCAAACTCAGATTCTGGAGGGATTTGTTTGAGTTGTTTGGCAACAGGATTTTATCCTAGTCACATCAACCTGACCTTGTTCAGAGATGGGCAGCCTGTAGCTGATCATGAGATCACTGGAGGAGATCTGCTGCCCAATGCTGACGGGACGTACCAGATGAGGAAGAGCATGGAGATCAGTGCTGCAGACAAACACAAATACACCTGCTCTGTCACACACCTCAGTCTGGACAACAAACTGGACGTCACTTTGGGTAATGAGCTCTTACAAATACAGAAAGGATCTGATAAAGTTTTAATGATCTTAATCTAAATTCTTCCTTTTTTAGAAGATGCACCTTCCAGTTATCACATAGGTGTTCTGCTATCTGGTGTTGCTGTCCTGCTGTTGCTATGTGTGATTCTGCAATAGCAATAGCCATTTGCATGACAAGTCGAGCAGAAAGACAGAGAGGTAGGCCTAATTTAATATTCTGGTATGTGTTTCTTTGAGGTTACTTCGAGATTTCGATTGAATTTTTACAAGGTCACTTTGTGTATAATGGCCTATGCTTTGTTTGTATTAGTCACATTTGCTAAATGTCTGCACGTAGTTTCCTGGAGTGTGATAAAATGAAAATACACCAGTTTGATACAAATTAACATTACTGTACCATCCTCATAATGGAATAACAGCTATGCAGATTAGTGTCTTATATGTTAAATAACATTTATGTCCATGTACAGATGCTGAAGGTGTTTTGTAATCTTCTGAAGACATTCATCCTATTTGCAAAGAGGTCAAACCATCACATCTTCTGTTTTATCAAATGGAGATGTCTGAGATTTAAGATACATCTGAGCTGTTGCAATATTTGCTTTTGACAAGCTGTGAGATTTCCAGTTGAGATTTACTTACATTCTAATGCAGAATAACAGCGAATTAACAGCTTACTCTGTTTATCCCTTAAAGTCTAAATGTGTAATGTTTTTACGAGGAATTCAAATGAATTTATTTATAGACAGGAGTGTTGTCAAGAGGGTTTATTCTAGCGGTTTATGGTGGATTTATGTACTTTATTGTTTCTGTATTGCTGGGTCTGATTTTGTGCATTCTGCCATTGATCCTGCTTGCTGTTTTTGTATTGGAGTTTTTTTTTTTTTTTGGGAATCACCCATGTCTTTCTGGCTATACAGTATGTCTGACTGTGTCAGTTTTATTGTATTTTCTGCTCATTACATTTTTTATTGGTTGCTTGTAACAAGGCTATTGATAAGAGGGGTACTGAGAGAGCTAAACAGATATTGGTGTTTTGTTTAATGCTTTGTTTAGTTATTGTAACATTTGAGGTGCTAATCAATTGATCAATTTAATCAATTTATCAGTTTAAAAGTGAGCAATCAGAGATCATGCTGTCCCAAAACAAAACCTGTTTGCACATTTATCCATCTGAATTGAAAGTATGTGGTGACATACAATAGTTGCCCGATTGAGTATGCTATTACAAGTCAATATTAAGAATTACAATTTGTGGTTTACTGATGTTCATGTTAGTGTAGTATGGAACACTTCACAAAACATTAACAAAAAGTAATAGTTGAACTGCTATAGTTTATAAAAAGAGGGTCTGTATATTTTCTAAAAGAGCATCATATGGTGGATATATGGTAATAATAATACCATATATGTTTGAAGTGACAGAGACTATGCTGATGTTGAGTAATCCATGCTGCTGCTATCTGAACTGAATGCATGTAGTGGCATCTAGTGGTCTGATTCAAAGAATGTTTGACTTATTTAGGAAATAAGCATTAAAATATAAATGTGCACTTATTTGTGTTGTATTGAGCACTTCATAGATTTTTTTTTTTCACCAAAGAAGTGATTCCAGTGACCCCATGGATGCCAAAGGGCCCCATGGGAAAAAAATTAGGAGCTAAAGGGGTGTTAAGTTCAGTTCACTTATCGTTGCATTAATGTCCTTTTGACTCCAAAGCTTTGAGAGTTGAGAATACAGAGTTTGTTTTTTCTGCCATTACAGCAGCACACATTGCACTGAAAACTGCAGCCAGTATGGACAGAATTATTTTCACTATCACCATTGTACTTCCAGTGGTTGGACCAAAAGGTAATTGTCGTGGAATCATAAGAACTTCTTGTTTATACCATGCTTGTTGACTCATTGCCTGTTACTTACATTCACATTTATGGATAGTTTTATGGTGACTTAGAGTACATTGCATTCACGTATCAGTTCATGCATTTTCTGGGAATCCCACCAATGACCTCAGCTTTTCTTCTTTAAAGTCATAATAAGGACACTGTTATATTTTGATATATTTATATGTTCACCATTAGAAATACATGTTGTATTGCAGCTAGTAGTGAAGATGAAAATAATCGAAAAACAATATAAATGAAAATAATAATAATGAAGAATATTCAGAAAACCTGAATGTGATAGTCACAAATATTGCAATAGGCTATTTTAAGGAGTAAATAAAATGTTAGAAATGGAGAGTCTTTTAAAATTAAAAGTAATCTGCAAATTATTTTAAACTGCCACATTGCCTGCAGAATACAGTTCTCACTTAAAATCTAGCTTATAGCTGTCTCTTGCCTGAAATGCTGGTGTCAATACTGTGCAATGTACTCTGCAATACCAAGACATTTTGATTCTACATATATATGTAGAATCGAGATATATATATATGTAGAATATATATTTTCGTTATTCTACACACACACACACACACACACACATATATAGAATAACGAGATATATAATTATCTCGTTTTCAATGTGAGTTCCGAAAAGGGAGGAGCTCTTTTGCAGGTCTAAATAAACAACCAGTGTAGTTTCGCTTAAGGTTTCGAGTACCCAAAAGTATCAAGATATGGCTATAACTCTGATCCTGCTTGTGCTGTCAGTTCCAGCAGTTACTTCTAAGGGTAAGATTTCAAATAAGGGTGAGCTAAAGGTTAGTTTGTCAGCTTTGTAATGTGCCTTAGTCAAGAGCGTAGAATTTAGTAGGGACGCTACCAATATCCAGCGACATACTAAACTGTCCCTAGCAATAATTTTGACCAAACAATTAAATAGGCTATACATAGCCTATATGTAACCAATGTTGTTGTAGGCTAATTCCGGCGGCATCTAAAATAGGTCATACCATTGATATTACCTGAGAAGTTAAAAGTAAATACGCTAGAAAACTGCGCGCGTTCAAGGACGTACATTTAATACATTGGCGGAACATAAGTTATCCGCAGTGTTTAAAACATACAGTATGTGCACAGCTCAGTTGAATGATAAAGTTGACCCTTTTTTAACTTTATTTTAAACTGAATGTAAAAAGCAAACTGTCATCTGAAATATCCACAAAATAAAAAACAAAACCGAAACAAGAGCGTGCGGTTTATCTGTCAATCAGATGCGCGTGAAGGAATGTGTTCGTTATAGCAACACAGTCAGGGTCCCGGGTGAGTTTTTTTTGGTCAAAATCATCATTTGTCCAATTTATTTGTATTAAATATTTTTATTTTATATTAAAATAAAATGATGTACAGCTTGATTAAGACACCCAGTGCTCTGATGCTGCTGTTATTGTTGGTTTTGCATAATCAAAATTGTATAGGCCCTAATTATTGTCTGTTAAACATACTAACATAAAAAGCTCTCTTTATGAATTATGAGTATGTTGACTACCATATCTATAAATAAAGACTTTATATGACATGACACTGTGGTCAAAAGTCTAGCATATATGTTGCCTGCTGTTATGTCCCCACCAATATCAAAATCAAACCTATACACCCTTGGCCGTAATTCACAGGTGATGAATAAGTCGTGTGAACGATATCGTTTACTTTAGGCTACTTTCCACATTAACATACATGTACTTTTGTCCTTACTTCCTCTCTATCATATTTTAAAATTAAATTAGGATTTGAATCGCTACGTGTAGTGCGCTGATTTCATTAAGAGGCAAAATCCATGAAACTTTTGTTTTTTTCCACACAGGTTCACATTCTCTGTCTTTGCATTCAACATACATTAAAGGAAAAACATTATTTCCTGAATATAGTTACACGTTTATGTTGGATGATGTTGTAGTAGGACACTTTAATTCAAAGACACTGACATATGTTCCAAAAGGAAATACTACAGATGAAGATGACGTGATTGACCCACAACATATCAGCATCATAAGTAAATATATATATGATGATTTTGAGGAGAGATGGATTGTACTGGAAGGGGGTAACCTTACAGACAGTAAGTAAAGAGGATCTGAAATATCCTTTGAAATAAAAAAACACAAACGCTTATGTGATGAACACAGGCCTGTCATCTCCTGTCTTCTGAGTGGGCTGGTAACCTCACTTTTTTTTGGTAATATACCTGTATTGGTCATTTTCACTCAAGTAATACATGTATATCAGTAATGGTGAAATATTTAGTTGGAACACAGTAGCTGGATCACAGAGTGCTAACCAAGCAACTGTCGTTGAGATAAATGAGTATACAATATAACGTTTTTCAGGTATTACAGACCTGCTTAGTTGAGTCACCTTATAAGTTATGTCCATTCAGGTCTTCAGGTTCATCAAAAGATGGTTCTGTGTGAACTGCTGAACAATGACAAGCCAGGACAAATGATAAGCAGGAGTGCTTCCAAGGGCTTCACCACAGATGAACTATGTTATCTTGATGGCAAGTTTACTTACCAAGGAGGTTCTTATTTCACACAGCAAGAGCTCAAACTACATCTGCAACTGTCCATGTGGCGTCATGAGAATTTGTATTACCCAGCTTGCATAAAAACTCTGAAAAATTACCTCAAGAAGAGAAAAAAACAAGTTAACAGAAAAGGTATGTATTCCAGTCTTGCAGAATGAGCTTGTAATATAATATAATTGGGAAAAAAATACATAAGGTTTTGAATTGACAGCCCTAATATTATTAAGTCATAAAATGGGTTTAACAGAGCAAAGACTAATATGCTTTGTCTGCTTTGAAAGGTGTAAAATGAATTGATTTACTGCATTTATTTCCTGCTTTCTGCCCCTTTCCTGTATAGTAAAACCCAGACTTAAATTCATCCAGAAAGCAAACTCAGATTCTGGAGGGTTTCGTGTGAGTTGTTTGGCAACAGGATTTTACCCTCGTCACATCAACCTGACCCTGTTCAGAGATGGGCAGCCTGTAGCTGATCATGAGATCACTGGAGGAGATCTGCTGCCCAATGCTGACGGGACGTACCAGATGAGGAAGAGCATGGAGATCAGTGCTGCAGACAAACACAAATACACCTGCTCTGTCACACACCTCAGTCTGGACAACAAACTGGACATTGAGTTGGGTAATGATTTAAAATGATAAAATATCCCATTTTCCCTGAGTTTCTAATCTGTTTTTGACCTTTTAAACTCGTTTGTTTCAGAATTTGACCCTGGTGAACCATTTAAATCAGTGATTACTTTAGTGCTGACAGTTTTGGCTCTGGTGTTGGTGTTTGGGACACTGGTGTTGGTGTCTGGAATCATCATATGTAAATGCAGAAGGAGACAAGCAGGTAGTACAAGAACTGAAGTGAATGATAAATCATCCAGTGATACTTTTATTTATAATACAATCTTTAATGGCCATTAATAATTCTATTTTTTATTTTCTTTCATGTTATAGCTTCCTTAAAGAGTGATTATTCTGCTGCTTCTAGTGAGTACATTAACTTTTGCTAATGCCTTTTGTTTACGATCCTGGAAAAATAAAGTGATTGAATCTTAGTTTTATTTTCTTCTAAATCAATGAATCAATTATTTTCCAGCATCTGAAGAAAACATGGACCCAGCATCTTGAAGTTTATGTAAATTCTATGAAGCTACTTTTTGTTTTCCATATTTTACTGTAGATTAATACAAATGTTCAAAGTTTTGTGCAGTCATCATTAATATTTTTTATGCCTTAAATTTTTTGTAGAATTGTTTTTATTCTTAAATGTTAACAGTTAACATTACAAAAGTATTTGGATGTGCACACAGCAGCAGTTCTTTCTTTCACTACTCAAAAAATCTTTGGACTTGAAACCAAAGATTAATTGATATTATAAATGAGTATTTGTAAGCAACTCAAAATGAGGAAAGTACAAACATAAGCCATTAATTAGGAGGCAACAATAGTAGTGTTGACACAGTAGCATCTGAATAGAACAGTGTAAACTTAAACTTGTTTGACTTGTTACAAAACTTGTTATTGGACACATCGACTAAATGTGGCTGTAGAGAACATGTTTTTTTATTGCTTGATAACAACATGACTTTTATTTCTTTTTTTCTGACTGTGCTGTCATTACCAACATTTGTTTTGATGGGTGGGCTTTCATAGGATTAGCCTTTAAATCAGGTACAGTACAGGTTTTGTGTAATTTGTACACATGCTTATTTATATATGAAATGTTAATATTGTTTTAGTTTTGTTCTTTCTTTTTTTAAAATACTGTTTCTCTCAGTTTCTCACTCTTTGTGGTTTCTTGCTTACTTACTTACATTCAAGGAGAGACACCATTTCCTGCATTTAGTGTCATATGTTTGCTGGATGACATTAAAGTTGGATACTATAATTCTGCCTAATAGTGATGGGACGTACCAGATGAGGAAGATTTTGTTTTTTGAAGAGATTTTAGTTTTGCATTAACTTACATGAGTACACAATTCATATACTATAATTCACTGGGTAAGACCTAAACAGTATGTTTCACATGCCACTCACTACAATTATTATTAATTTCATCGTTGGGGTTTTTATACCATAATGCCTGTGTATATTATCATTCAATGTCATACATTTTATTATTGTAATATTGTATTATTGTAATATAAAAAAACGAAGAAAAAAAAAAGTTTGCAGCACTGGTGTAGATGGGTGTCAAAATCTCACTACAGGCTGGTACAGACAGTGGATGGACCAAACAAACCACAACCCGTGAGTTTACCCATGCATTAGAGCACTCAGTATTTTGGTCTTCTAGTCAAGCAATCCAATGTTGTACTGCAGGAAAAAAAAATCTGTCCACATTATTACATAAATCTAATTCAGATCTCTTTTTCCAGAATTCACCCCAACTTAAGGTCTACAGTGTACTGTAGTGCTATTGCCTCAGGTGGCGCTGACGAGTGGGACTTTGGATGGCTGATGTTTAAGACCGCCACCATCGGAATAGAAGCTGATAAACTCATGTCAGCCCTGGCTTGTGCAAAAGATACCACACTTTTAGAAAGGTTTAAAATATATTGTTCTTTGGGAACATATAGAAACTTTTCAAAGGAATAACATTAGATATTTTTTTAGATTGTCATAAATATAGGTACCTTGGATACACGCTTGACGCATCAATGATCAATGATCCATAAACAGGACGCTACCTCTGTCATTGTGTATATTGCCAGCAACCCAGACGGTCAGACATTGGCTTGGGATTTTGTCAGGAAGAACTGGGTGTATATGTTCACAGAGTGAGCTTTATGAACAACACAAATGCTCATATACAAGATAACTGCAAAGTTTTTCCTTTTTAATGAATTGAAATACCGGTAAATGCAGTAATGTGATGAACAGAATGAACTTGTGTCCTTGGTATGGTGTGGGGTCTCAAATGACCGTTAAATTTTACATATAGGCCTCAATACTGTCATGGCAGACCAACCCGGCGTCTGTTCATACTATCCATCCTAAATAGTATGTGAGATTAGAATAAGTGTGTCCCAAAACATAGTATGCTGAAAAGTGTATGCCAAAAGTCCCCGGATAATCTACTATTTTAGGTCGATTTTTGAAGTATGGATCCATGCACACTCTCCCTGCATTCCATTCGGAAGGGCTCATCCTAATGCCCTAATCCCTTCAAAGGGTTTACCCTCCGGAGTGAGAGCTTCGAAGGGTTGAAGGGTGTAGGGGACCAAACAACTGTTTCTTGAACTGTTTCCCAAACGGAGGCGCCGTCATCATGCAAAGAATCTGCACAAAGGATCATGGGAGCCCGAAGTCTAATATAATTTCGTAAATTGCATAAACAATTATGAACAAAACAGCATCATGTATTTATGCATTGCTTAATCCAAAGAGCCGAAGCGCCATTCACTCAGATTGCATTTAAAAACATATGAGACGCAGTGAAAAGGAATAAATATCCACAAATTCGCTACGTGTTTTCTAAAAGTTTAAACTGTTTAAACTTTGCATGGCAACATCTCTTGAGTGAGATGCGAGTGCAGCAGTCATATTTGTCCGTCTAAAAAAT